TCTTTAGTGAGAAAGCGATTGATTTCCATATGGTATATCACACTAAATAAATGAATTTTTAAAAGAATAATAATATGCTGAAATAATAAAAACAATCCGTTAAATAAAGCATAAAGAAGTAAAATTGGGCTCGTCCGGGATTTGAACCCGGGACCTCTCGCACCCTAAGCGAGAATCATACCCCTAGACCAACGAGCCACTTCGAGACAAATCTGCTTACTTGCTCTACTGTCTCATAAAACACGAACGCGATGTTGATGTCACAGTGTGTGAAATGAATTCGCTAGTACTGCCAGTGCTTGGATTACTTGCTCATAATATAAAGGGACAAGCACTAAGGTAGATTAGACAGTGATATGGATATTTTGAAAACAGTTGCTAGCTCTACACTAGCCTGCCCCAAGGAGCTAAATATAACAAGGAGAGGAAGCGGATTGGCTGTGTGCTTTTCGCCTCAAGGGCGCCATCTATGGACCATAATCAGCTGAAACGGCTGTGCAGACCGAACACAGGGAAAATAGGACACTAATCTGTTCTAGGGTCTCTGCCGAACCCAAATTTGCGCCAGATATGGCGGCGCTTCCTAGCTCTCCTTGTTATATTTAGCTCCTTGGCCTGCCCTAGCTAGCTCCACAGCAGTTTCATGCACTGGCAGCGGCATCAAGTCCGCCCCCACCACACTCACGCTACAACACATACTCTGTGTGGCTGTGGCCACAGGCACTTGGAGCGTTTCAATAAAATATAATGCTAAATAAATACGAAACGATCTATTTACTAACAAAGTCTTAATATTTCTCTACTCTCTTTCACCTATTATTGCCGACAATTATAGCGTGCGGGCGGCAGCCAGCGTGTGTTGCAGATGAGCATTTGGACGGCATTTACAGGAAATTGTCGGCAATAATAGGTGAGAGAAACATTAAGACTTTGGTAGTAGGCCTAAATAGATTTCGTATTTATTTAGCATTATATTTTATTGAAATGCCTGTGGCTGTGGCTGTGGCTGTGGCTGTGGCAGAGCGATGCGATGTGTGCTTGGAGTTAGCTCTGCAGGCGGAGCGCGCTATAAAGTATTAGAGCTATAGTATATACACGTTCCTTATACCTGGTAGTTCTCTGCATTTTTAGTACCACTGCCGTGAGAATAGTCTTCCTCATCGAAGAATTTCTGAAATTCGTAAGCAATAGCTGAAAACTTTCTATTGACAATGTACACTACAGACCTGTACGGCCGGCGCGTGTATGTATCACTGCCTGTAGGTCTACCCCTGCAACCGTATTAATATTAACCTAAAGAGTATATAGTCTACTATACTATAACTATAGTATGGTGGGTAAAAGGATCGTTTAATTGGGATGCGCCCCTAGAATTCATTTTCGCAAATGTATTGAGAAGTCTTATTTCACCTGCCCAATATGCTTTCACCTCGCCATAAGTCTTTTTTTCACCTGCCCAATATGCTTTCACCTGTGCCATATGTCTTTATTCACCTGCCCATATGCTTTCACCTTGTGCCATACAGTCTTCATCACCTGACCGAAATGCTTCACCTGGTGCCATACTCCTCATTTTCCTGGCCAGCATAGTTTGACTTCAACTCTTCACGTCATTACTTCTCTGCCGAGCACGATTTCACTTTTTACAAAAATAGATTTATCTGTGTCACTCTAGAAAGAGCAGCTTTACCCAGCCTGATTTTACTTTGTGGAGAAACTGTTTAAGACAATATGGTGCATTATAATGTGGCGCAGTAGTAATCGAACATCAGATTTTGTGGAGAATCGAGTACAAACTGAAGCAGGAACGCTGAGAGCAGTTATCCTGTGCAGGTTTCAGTCAACATTACAGGACGCTGTTTTGGTCTGTGTTTCGATGTCACCTGTGGAGTCAGCAGACGTTGTTCATCGAAAACTAGGCCAACAGCACACATCCCATTATCAACAAACACTCTTTCACAGAAGGTTGGTACTTCTCCCTCTCTCCACCCTCCCTTTATTCTTCACATTTACCCCCTCCCTCCTTTCCTCCTTCCTGTCTTTCTAGCTTTCTCGCTCACTCTATCGAATTCCCCCCTCTCTCTCCTTCCCCTTTCCTCTCTTATCTCTTCAATTTCTCTCGCTCTGTCTCTCTCTTTCTATCATTTTCTCTGTCCCTATATCCTTAAGATCTATCGCTCTTATCTCCATCTCCCTCTTCTCTCCTTCCCCTCTTTCTCTCTACCGCTCTGCTTCTCCTGTCTCCGTCTCCATCTCTCTTACGATATAGTAAATTTCGTGTGTTTTGCAGGTGTCCGGTTACTGTGCTATTTGCCAGCTACCACGTCATAGTGGTTTGTCTTCCTCAACATGCTCATAGCCATGATGGCCAACAGCTTCCAGAAAGTGACAGTGAGTTTCATCAGGGCAGCAATTTTCTTTCATCTCGTGTCGTGATGTATGCGATGATGCTCAGAAATACATGAATATAGAGATGTACATTTCATGCCACATTAGGTACTAATTTTATGCCAGGTATTAATTATAGAGCAGATAAGCCAGAATTTCGTGTTTCCGGAGCCGAACTCAAAGCAATATGTGTCATATAATTACTAAGATATATCTTATTTCTGTGCATGCACCAGGATAATGCGGATAGAGAGTGGAAATTTGCCTCGCGCTAAGGTGTGGCTTGGCTATATGGATAGTGCAGACATGGCTCCCGTGCATGCAAGCCTAGTTCCCAGTCCGCGCTCAGTCGTTTGGCTGATCGCCGTCCGGTTATTGCAAAGCTCAGTGGTACTCCAGTGACAGAACATCTGCTGTTACAGGTGAGTCACAATCACGGACACAAGCATAATTTCTAATTTATCAATTTAATTTAGCCAGGAATTTGTCACCACATGCAATTAATGTTGTCTGCGACAGTTATTCTCCGTAATTTGTTATTTTTTCACTCTTCGAATCCTATCGTTGTACGATATAGGCTGTGAGATCTAACGTCAAT